TAATTTAGATTTCAGGTATAGCGATATTTCGCGACTCCATACATTTACTTAATTGTAACACAGTCAAATTGCTAACATTTGAGATAACATTGAACGTATCGAGCCTGGGCTCCCTGTGCCGTAGAACCAAACTTACCCACATAACTTTGCAGACTTTTCCCGCCTTTTTGCTCTAGTGTCGGTAGATTGCGAGCAAATTGTCAGTCTTGTCAAAATGGACTTTATGCAAGTAAAGAGTGGGGACAAAACTCTTAAAATCAAACTGAACGAAAGCACTATTTCTGTCCTGGGAAGGAGTTTTAATCTAAGACCTGAGACAATTTATCTGATTGGAGACGAAACTGTTATAATGCCAGACGCTTCACGTGTTTGGTTTGAAGATGTGATGTCTTTCACAGTCTACGAGGTTCATGGTGATCCTCCCGTTCAGGCACCTCAAGATAGTCCTCAAGATACTTCGGCGCCTTTACTAGGAAATAGGTTTTCTTACCAAAGCCAGCAGTCATCGAGCCGCCGAAGTATTACTCCTCCTCCTGGTGTCTCTGGTCGTAAACCATATTTTCCCTCGCGACCGACGTTCACAACTACCAAGACAAGTGGCGGAGAGCCTACATGGCGGAAGAATGTCATCTTTTCTGAGGTAGTGGACGGGAAACTGTCAGCAATATATCAGATATATCTCACCCTAACCGCTGAAACAGCAACCGTGACTAAAATAGCAGAAATGGTCTCTGAAGAAGTTGGCGTGCGCGTTATGCTTCTAGACAGCAAAGGCTTGCGTATAATGCCCTCAGAAGCGACGAAAGGTACGATTCGTAAATTTTATTATATCTAAATTGCCCTCTTTAAAATGCGAGAGTGTATATTGCATACGATCTTATTTAGAAATATCACAATTTTACACCTGTATATTTTGGTTGGAGAAGTGAGCCCGTAATTAACCTTCTGAGAACAGTCAAAGCCGGGCGGGTTTATAGTATCAGTTCAGTTACTAGTGATTAATAAAAATGTTATGGATTTTATATACAGCTATTAAAAGCTTGTTTCATTTCTTGTTTTAAAACAGCGTTGAATTAATTTTGTAATGTTGAAAGTGTTGCAATTCCAAACATCACATAAGAAGAAAAATTACGATAGAAGTCTCGTCTAGTATAGGCTTCTCTCCTCGTGCATCTCGCTCACTTTTGTTTTACTATTTTTTTTTTATTTACTAAGCCATCTGATTCTGAGAGCTCTCTCTTCCATTTGGTTTTTACTATATTAAAGCATGACATTTTCAAACGCCAAAACATCAGACTTCATTAATACATGACACCTGAAGGTCATCTCGACAGTTCAAAAGGAAAAGCTCACAGTAAAACAAAACGTTAAAATATTTCATGAAAACATTTTGGGAAGTTTCTTACAAAACAATCGTATATTGCCAAGAATTTGATTGAATTCACTACGTACTTTACGTAAGTTGATTATCAATTGGGAGTGTGTTTAGTCTCACAAACTAGTCGCGACTTGTCGATTTCAATTTCTCATGTTGTTATAAACTCAAATACCGATTTTTTTCTTGAGAACTATAAAGTACTTTGTATTTTCTTCAGTTTACGGGCTAAAGACAAAAAACCTTTTCATGGTGACTTGCAGATTTCTAAGTTCAGAGTGATTTTTGACTATTAGTGTTTTCGATCAACCTCTTTACCGCGTGTAGCACCTCGCCAGGAGTAGTCGGTGTTTAGGATGTCCAACTATTGTTTGAGATATTTTTGTTATCGCACCGGCGCGCGCTCTTAGGAAAATGCGAGTTACCTGTGGTATTACCTTAAGGGATCATTGACGTAGTAAAGAACTCATAATAAAGTTTCAACAATAATTTTAATATTTTTGTTAGGTAAGGTTATTATGGGTGGTACATAGTTTGAAAAGTAATTGACATTGGGGGTATGTTTCAAAGCAGACACATGATCTGTTTAAAAAAACACTGCCCCCCCTACCTGTGAAGTAGTAAATGATCAAATGAGCTTTTATGAGGGTGTTACTAAAAGGCGAAACGGCGAAACGACGAAACGACGAAACAGCGAAACAAAGAAACAGCGAAACAATACAACTACCACAATGTACCACACATGATCCCTGGATTTCATTTTTGCCTATTTCGAGTTTTAATAAAAGAAAACGGGCTATTTTTTTAAACATTGGCGCATCGGCCATGTTAGTAATCTGTCATCGCCTAAAGATAACAGTCTCTGCAACACACAACGTTCTGTCACGTCATTTGAATCCACTCAGTTCCCCGGGGGGGGGGGGATACTACTTCCCCAACTTGGGTGGGGGTGTGCCGCACTTCTCTAGTAACAAAAGGGAAAATATAAAATCGAAAAAAGAAACACTTAAAAATTCGACGAGCTGAAGTTGTTGTAAAGAATAGATTACATCTCGGTGGATTTGAAGTACATGCTCTAAAGCAGGTCATACTTGTAAGTCATTCTCGTGTTACTCGTGTGGTCTGGATATTTTTAGCAATCAACGATCTTCTACAAACATGTTAAAAGCGTTGCCGGTTCGACAAAAAATGATGTCATCGTGACTATCATAACACATGATAAGTGGAAATTTCAGCTACTCAGAACATCGGGTGATATTTGAAGATTTTTCATCATATTGCAGTAATTTCAAAACACGTGATGATCATTTAATAAAATTGTGTTTTCTTAAAATTTTCTAAATATATACATCGCCACAAATGTTTTTATTTGGCTTATTAAAGGGAAAGAAAGAGCGAAAAACTACACAGAATGAAAGGGGTGTTGTCCAGGCTGCTTACCTTTCATTGTCACGTGAGACTGCTCTGACTTGAACCCGGAGAGAAATTGCTTTTTCAAATTCATCTATTAAGGAAATAAATGACCCGGCATATAACATATATTCATTTCAACGGAGGCTTTAGAATTGTGGCTGGTTGATCTACTTTTACAAAAGTGAAATTATTTGCACAACATCTTTAATTCGTCTACGCAGGAATTATCGTTTGTCCCATCAAGCCGTTGAAAATACAGTAGACAATGCGACTACGATAAATGGAGAGATTGAGAAAGATTGTCAGAGAAGCCCAGTACCCCTCTTTTAAAACAACTCAAATTACCGATAAAAATCTTAGTGTATTACAAGGCTTTAATTCGCTTGGCTGAAAGTCTACTTTAAATCTTGGATACTTTAACACTAGCTTTTTCCAGTTGACGAATAATGGAGAAAACGTATGCTGAAGTAGTTATAAGTGGAAGTAAGTACCAATTTTATTTCATTAACTTTCAATTTGAACACACTTCAAATTTCGCTTTGATGTATATTTAAAGGCATATATTTTTCTGTAATTCACAGGTTCTGGATCTGAGTCAGAAGGAGAAGTAAGGCAAGTATACAAAGATTAGCTAACGATAAATATAAAACTTTGAATATAAAAATTTGAATGTTCACACCTCACGAGTTGCACTGAACTTATACCACTCTTATAATTGAATCCTAATAGTGAAAATGCATCAAGAGTGGACATTGTAAGTTCACATATGAGAGCATTTAAAAGGTCAAGGAACGAAAAAGGTGGGGTTCCTGTCCTACATATCAACTTATAAAAATTTTACTACGCTCGATTCTTAGTGACGTTGCTTTAAATATTCATTTCTTATAGGACGCACGTGGCGTAAGGCCTTAAATGCAAGTTTGGAGTCGGGCGTGAAGCCTAGTTCAAAGGCCAAGCAAAGGTCTCTAATCTGATATGATAAAACCGCGTTAAACACCACCATCATAATACATGTATTGTCTTAATCATTATTACTAGACTGAGGCCTATAAAGCAAGATATTGGGATTGATATGAGTGATTCCGACGACTCTATAGGTGGCACTAATGTGAAAAAAGAAATTGTTAAAATAAGTCTGCTGTCAAGCGCGGAAAATAGTCCAAGGTAAAATAACAATTCAGAATCTAGCCCTAAAAGTAAGGGTCGTTAATGAAAATTAGTTACTTTACACTAAACGAATAAGTTTCCAATAAACAAGGGTAGTCAACTGAAAAATCATTACTTTGTTCTTGCAGCAGCGACTGCCGCTCACCTGACGACAAAAGGTAACGCTTTGCTTTTCTTATTATCTCCTGCTCTGTTCATGACCTCCCTTTCTCCTTTTACACCTACGGATCT